GACCGTTGTTTTGATTGACATCGTCACCCTCAGATAAATGCTTTGAGTCTGAAGAAACAAGCTGCTTGCAAATGTTTCACATTAGTTAGGTTCTGGCATTGTGCTTTCCCCCCACCACATACTTCCCACAGGCTCATGCATGTTGCACATCAGCAGCGTTCAACAGCAGTTGGGCTGCTGGGAAAGAATTTGGCACATCAAAAGTAAATATCAGCTCCAAACGAAGAGAGCAGAACCTGTGTCAAGATGTGATTGTGGTGGTACGGACCAGCTGATATGTCTCCTCTCATTCCTTGTACGCTCGTGTAGGGGATGTGCCCTTATAGAAGATGTTCCTGGTGTTCTCTGGACTGCTCCCTCTCTCGGGGATTAAAATGATGTTACCTTTCCTTCGAAGTGTTGAGTCCCGGCTAGAAGAAATGGACAGAGTCTCTGAGCCAATCTCGCTTCCCTCTACTGGTGTGACCCTTATTGTAGTGATCCCATGATGGTGATGCTCGCTGTTATCTATGTTGCTCCTTTTCCGGTCGCCTGACCCGTAACTGTCTTTTAAGGAGTCACAGCTCTCAGAGTCTCTGTTCAGATCATTTAGCTCATAGGTCTGACGAAGGGTGATTTTTTCAGGACCTTTCCATTTCCATGACCCACTCCCTTCACCTTCTGATGGCATCTGAATTACAGGTCTGTTATTCTCCGGATGGGCCTCAACTCTGACAATGCCGCTTGGCTCATGCTCTGTCAAGGTTTTGTATCTGATGGCTCCTGTGCAGGTGACTGTGCTTCCCTCTGAACCCTTTGGGCTGCTCTGAAGCACTCCTTGCTGCTTAGACATGGCTATTACTTGCATGATTCTTGGCTGGCTATTGCTTCTACATGCAACACTCTTCTCAGCAGCTTTCAGCCATTTAGCTCTAGCTGAACTAGTTTTGGGTGATGTGTTCACATTCTCCTGAGTCTCTTCAGGAATGTGGACTAGCTGGGAAGAACCAGGACGTGACTGAATAGAGACCCGTGGCCCACCGGAAAGACCTGTGTTGTTACAACCTGGTACGCTGCCAGGTTGAATTTTCAGGTATTGGCTAGTTGGGCCATGATGATCACCATTTACACCCACTCTGGAGGGTTCTGAGCTTGACCTCATCTCAATAGCCCTTGGTGGTGACTGGCCAGATTCAGTCTCTATGACTTGCAGAGACAACTTTCGACTCTCATTCTTGTTCTTCCACTGGGAAAGCAGCTGTTTGGAACGGGCAGAATCCATGGATGCATGTATTGTTGCATTTCGCCTTGCCTGGTCTTCCATGGATGGTGTGTTGACTCTTGGCAAAGTGTTGCTGAAGGTGACCATATTTTCCTTTCCCATTGGGCTTCGCGGTGTTATTATTTCTACATCGGCATTTGCTCTCTTGATATTGGTCAGAGACCCTGTATCTCTGTGGTTTCTGTTCAGGATACCTTCTGTACGATGAGAAACAATGCCATCACTGCTGCTTCCATTTTTACCTGGCAGGATCCTGTTGGCATCTTGACTGAGGTCTGTCAAAGACCTTAGAGGTTCTCTGTGAAAACTGGGCTGAAACACATTCTCATCACTTGGCAAGAAGTTCCCCACGGCATACAGGCCCTGGTATTGGAACAGAAGCATCAACAGTCAGTAAGGGGGGGGGGCAGAGGGGAAGAGACTTTTAAAAATATTTTAATTATATTATGCTGCCTTTAAGTAAATATTGACTGATAGAATTAACAGCTTAACTGACAGGGTATGCTTGCTTTCCTTTCCTCCCCAGTATATCCTTATTCCACATTCTGTTCTTGGTCTGGTACATCTAGATATGTATGAAGTAGGATAATTGGGGCACAGAGCCCATGGCAACAAATAGTCGAGGAAAAGATTTAGCCTCCTTCAGTTTTCTTCCTTTTATAAAGCAACAGATACAGCTGAGGAGAGAATGCTTTGTTATGAAAAGAACAAAATCAATGTTTGCAGTCTTCCAGGCAATGCTATTTACTACTGTCTGCTCTGATTTACTGACTCTTGTTACAGCATGAGTTGTTCTCTGCTCTGTGATTCTGCCCTTTCTGCTGCATAATAACCGTGTAATGCAGTATCTACATGGTGGAATGATTTATCAACTTTAAATGAATTGCTTTCCAAGCTGCGCAGAGCTGTAACAAGATTTAGTAATACACTGTTTTCTTATTCAGCAGACTCACTGTAAAATGTTGCCTTCTTAAAGAGACTCCACTGAGGGAGGATATTCCATGAAAGGGTCAAATGCCTGACTCAATCATTTAGGTTCTTTGTTCTTCACACTCCTTTCAGAGATATTTGTAGTTTCACATCATTTCTCCTCCCCTTCCTTTTACTGATGTACAGTTCTTAGGGCAGGTTTACTGACTACTGGGTAGCCAGGACAATGCCCTCTCTGATGCAACAGTATATGGAGAAGACCAAACAAAGAGCATACTTGTTTGTGCATTTCAAACAGGGGAACAACAGCTCCATTTATGAGAGCCTACAACAGCTTAATCACTTGAAATAATATTCTCAAGAGAGTGCCCTTCTGCTCCCAGTGCATCATGGAAACTGGCTTTAGTAGCTCATGGGGTTTCTTATCTACTCTGCTTGCTCTTTCTTCTACCAGTGTGAAAGCCGTTTTTCCTTCATTCACCTTTGAGGACCACCTACATGTACCTCAGATCACCTCATCGCAGGAAAAAAGGTGGATAGGATATGAAGTTGTTTTAGAGCTATACTGAAATTCATCATTGACTTCTTGGGTATCAAAACCATCACACTGGCTGGCAAGACTCTGTTGTTCATCTGCCAACACCGGAGCAGAGCTGCTGTCAGGAAAAGCTCCTGAATGCTCACAGGTATCTGGGCTCACACAGTGCTCAACAGCTACAGCAGCAGCAGGTGTGGTGGTGACATACTGATGGCAGCAGCCAAGAGCAAAGGCTTCATGAGCTTCCTACTAATAGATACAATCAGGCCTATCCTAAAAACTCCTTTACAGGACCCTTCCAAGGTGCTCCATCTGTTTTAGCCCAATACGGAGGAAAGGCGTACGAATAACCTGGCTTTGGCATTCTATTTTCCCAAAAGCTCCAAAGACTCCCAAGGGTGTAGCATGGCCTTTGATTTCTTGCAGGTTCAGCAATTTACTCAGCTAGTTGCTCTGGGTTTTTTTGAGATCATAAAGCTAACATAGAGTTATAGAATCATAGAACAGTTAGGGTTGGAAAGGACCTGAAGATCATCCAGTTCCAACCCCCCTGCCATGGGCAGGGACACCTCACACTAAACTATGTCACCCAAGGCTCTGTCCAACCTGGCAATATAAACTCAGGCTGGCAACAAATACCAATTAACCCAATGTTTCTCTTGCGTTATGCTTGTAAGTGTGGAGTAGAATGAGTATCTTTAAGTTTTTAATGAAGCACATAATGTTAGAGCTGTTTCTGTGTATGATACCGTATAATTATATACTAGTTTGTGCAGTCGATTTGAATACATATTTGCTTTTCCCTGTGAAGTTTTAAAGTGATTACCCCAACATCATCATCTTCAACACATTTTGACTACATTTTTAATTATGGCATGTGATCACAATGAAAGGTTTTCATAAAAACTACCAGTACTCTTATTACAGTTTTATTTCCTAAAATTTGACTACATGAATATGATATTTACCAAATAGAGAGCAATTCCTCCTCCTATGAGAAAGCCACAGTAAACGTCAACTGGATGGTTCTTATACTGGGTGATACGAGTCAGACCACATATAATTCCACAGATGATAAAAGCGAAGACCAAGAGTGGTTTCAGAAGCTTTGAGGAGTCTGTTAACGTAGAATTGAAGTACATCTTGAAAAAAGAAAGAAATGAAGAAGCAGTTGAAGAGATTTACCCAGGAGGATATTAATTTCTCACATTCAGTGTTTCTTTCACATGTAGATAACACAGTAATATTGAAAATAATCAGCCTAATTTTATTTTACAGCCCTGTTTAAATTTGCTTACTTACCAGAGGGAGATCTGAAATCCCAAGGAATGGATTTCCAAAAGCATACACAATGTTGTCTATTGACATCACAGAATCCCAGCCTGGCTTGGGTTGGAAGGGACCATAAAGCTCATCCAGTTCCAACCCCCTGCCACATGCAGGGACACCTCACACTAGAGCAGATTGCTCCAAGCCCCTGTGTCCAACCTGGCCTTGAACACTGCCAGGGATGGGGCAGCCACAGCTTCTCTGGGCACCCTGTGCCAGCAGGGAAGAGCTTCTGCCTTAGATCTAACCTGAACTTCCCCTGTTTCGGTTTGAACCCATCACCCCTTGTCCTATCACTACAGTCCCTGATGCAGAGTCCCTCTCCAGCATCCTTGTAGCCCCCTTCAGACACTGGAAGCTGCTCTGAGGTCTCCACGCAGCTTCTCTTCTCCAGGCTCAACAGCCCCAGTTTTCTCAGCCTGTCTTCATTAATTAGGATAAAGATTTTATGCCTAAATCCTGTTCACAGTCAGAGCCTAAATGTACTGTAAATGTGACTAAGGAGCCACTGCTTCTGAACTGCAGAAGCCAGATGTTACACCAGATGAAAGCAATAACCTGTTCTAACAGCAGCTACGACCAGATGCTTTAGAGAGCTATTGCTCAACTGGGGGCCATGATGTCAGGGAGGTCACAGAAATTAAGTGGAGGTGGTTCATCAGTGTTCCAAGTTTTGGCCTTTCCATAGGCAGAAAAAAATACTGGCAAACTCCCAGTTCATGCACAATTCCATTATCCAGGTTGAGTAACTGGTTGTTACTGTTGTTTTCCTCTGGTTTTTACAGGAGGAGTGATGGAATAACTTGTGGTTGCTCATACACGCATTCTAGCCCATACTGTAAAAATGTCACTGGTCAGATGTGGAAAATCAGCAGTGATTGCTGCAGCATGTCCTACGATTCCCTGCTAGTTACTGATGGGGTTTATTCACTTGCTTTGCAGTAGCACCTTGGAGGCCTCTGGGAGCGATTGTGCTAGTTCATCCATGCTGCAAATCTATGGAGGTCAAATGAAACTACATCACATCAGTGGCTGTTCCTTAATGCCTCAAGCTGAAAAGCAGCCAGTCAAGTGAAGACAGCAACAGAGAAAAAGCAGAACACATCATGGTTAATTTGAATGGTAAGTTAAAATATCACCCCATACGATGGATAAACACTGCATTTTACATGTGAATAATATGAGTTGAATAATCAGCTATACTTTAACGTTAAACTGTTTGTTGCTTCTTAGCAAAGGCTGTGAAGCAATTGAATCTTTTCTGTATTCTTAATAGAGCTGGATTTAGGTTAACTGTTAGCAGTTCCATTTTGCTTTCAGACTGGGAGGATAAAAACTTACATCCATGCAGGATATCAAGGAAACACATCACTTTACAAGCAAATGACTTTCTGGCTTTTGTCTTGTATAGATGAAAATGAACGGAGTTGGTTACTCACCGAAATGTACACTGCTGCAAAGGCTGCCAGGGTGGCATGTTGAGAAGGGAATGACTTTCTGCCAAGGAAGGACACTCAAATTATGCTTCTCAGTTCAAATACACTGTGCTAGTGTTCATGTGAAAAAAAACACTGGGTGGTACAGTCATTTTCAGTTTACACTTCCTAAGCAACATATCAGGAACATTTAATTTCTAACTTCTGTAATCTGTAGAAAGTACCAATGTTAATGAAATGCCTTTGTTTTGAAGTAAACATTTAGCATGAAATTATTTTTACATACTAAGAAATATATATTGAAAGAACAGTGGGAATGAGCTAAAGACTGAATGCTTGATTGACACAAATATTTATACATTTCTTTCTCTACATATATTCCCATAATAACTTTTCAGTGAGCATAAATGCATGAGCATTGATCGTATATTCATAGAATGGTTTGGGTAGGAAAGGACCTTAAAGCTCATCCAGTCCCAACCACCTGCCATGGGCAAGGACACATTCCACTAGAGCAGGTTGCTCCAAGCCTCCTGGCCTTGAACACTGCCAGGGATGGGGCAGCCACAGCTTCTCTGGGCACCCTGTGCCAGCGCCTCAGCACCCTCACAGGGAAGAGCTTCTGCCTTAGATCTAACCTGAACTTCCCCTGTTTCACTTTGAACCCATCACCCCTTGCCTGTCACTACAGTCCCTGATGAAGAGTCCCTCTCCAGCATCCTTGTAGCCCCCTTCAGACACTGGAAGCTGCTCTGAGGTCTCCACGCAGCTTCTCTTCTCCAGGCTGAACAGCCCCAATGTTCTCAGCCTGTCTCCATACAGGAGGTGCTCCAGTCCCTGATCATCCTCGTGGCCTCCTCTGGACTTGTTCCAACAGCTCCATGTCCTTCTGATGTTGATCTAATGATTATTTTCTCAGTGACTTCACTTGGACTCTTTTCAAAGTAAGGACTCATACGCTTCAATAGTCAGGCCCTAACTTCAGCAACAGAATTCATCATCTTTGTGCTCTTGCTTTGTTGCTCTAGCAACAGTGGGACATTCTGCTCAGGGAGAGGCAAACAACATCTCTATTTGCTGCGTCTTCTGATTTAGTTTTGTTAATTTTTAAAAATTCTAACATGAATGGAGGGAATGGGCTACAGGAACATGGAGAGGGCATTTTAGGAGTTACCAGATTCCTTCTTGAAGCCCAGACCAAGTTGGTAAATGAAAATATGTCCACACTGTGTAAGGCAGTAGGCTCAGGGCTCCCATGGAAAGCCTGGGGACTTGAATGATGCGGCCTGGGTCTCAAGTCAGAAACAACAGGTATGGAAATTAGAAGTGACAGCTTAGCTTCTACTTCTCTGTCCAAGAAAAGGAGATTTTGCTCAAGTAGCAGCTACACAGAACCATCCTGTGAGGTTCTCTATCATTTCAACATGCTTCTTATATACCCATTCCATCAGTGGTGGGAACATTAAGGAGTATTGTTCGCTTTACACAGCAAAGGGAAAAGCTTGGCTGGGGGTGGATTCAGTAACACCTATTCTACCTAGTACACAGCTTGCAGAATCCCAAAAACTCTTTTATGACCTCTGAGCTCTAGAAGGGAGTAAGATGCCATGAAAATGTACAACAGTTTATACCTGTGCATTTCTGTCCTTCAAAGGGCATGGACACATCATGTGCTGGCTGTTTTGGTGAAGAAGGGTGTGTCTATCTTGCAGCCACTTTCACCTGAGAAAGCTCAGCTTGGGATAATCCTTAAACACTCACTGGGCTTTCAATCCCAACGGGGCTCCATGTCCAGCCATGGTCCTGGCAGCCCCTGAGTGAGCCAGGATAAAATAGCAATGGCTGGAATACAGCCCTTTACCTTTAGACAGAGACATTGCCAAGCAGCAGTCTGCTTTCTGAATTTGTTTCCTGTGCATTTGACTTTATCTGTTTGAAATAATTCATTGGCAATTCAATGTGTGCATGTAGTTGAATGTGAATCTGTGATCTGAATTGAAGCCCGTGGCTGCAGCAGGTTCATGGCTCTGGCCAAGATGAAATCAGCACGATCCCTTTTCTGTTTCTAAAGACATTTGCACCTAAATTATTTTTCTTTCCTTCTTCCCCCCTGTTTCTTTTCCCCTTTTTTTTCTTTCTCCTCCCCCTGAACAAGCCTTTCACCAATAGTATCCCTGGGTAACAAGTTCAGGCTGGAGGACAGGAGGATAAAGACATGAACAAAATGGGAATGTTTGTAATGGGTAATCACCTTCTTTACCCTGGCCAGGTTTTAGTGGAAGCATGGATCTACTTGCAGTCTCTGTGGAGCTAATGTGTAGATTTGATTCTTTAGTACCAGTCAGAACTTACCCTTCACTTAAAGGCATTTTTAGAGTATAAAGAGTGTCACTATGCTACAGTCAATTTCTATTCTCTTTTCTATTAGCATGCTTTCAGGGCAAGCACAGTATGTTGCAGCCTAGATGTGCTCTGTGTAATGGTGCCACTGCTTTTGTTCCCCTATTTGTTATCTTTTCATTAAAATGAAAATAGTTCAAGCCAAAAATATGTAGCATTTTTGCACAGCTCTGTATTGAAAAGGTGAACAAAGGTCTCAAAGAAAACATATCCTGGACTTGGGTGACAGTGTATCACTAAATGCTCATGCAGGAGGATGTGTAGAGGGGGAACAACAATGAGAAAGAGTCATGCTGAGAGTCATACTGAGTGAGAACATCCAAAATGATAGGGAATCATCAGGAGAAGTTGCTGGAAATCTGAACAGAAATGACTGAAAAGGCTTTCTGAAGGTAAAGAAGGAAAAGATGGACAAAGAAGGCTCCTGGATATTTGGGATGTTGCAGAAAATGATTTTATATAATCAGCTGGATAATTATGTTCTTCTCTGTAATTTCCATTGGGTGGAAATTTCTGGAGACAAGTTTCTGGGGAGTACAACTGAAGAATGAAGGCCATTAGCAACCTCAGCCCCTTACAGGCTGAAATCACTGAAGTAAATTAACCTCCTGGGCTGGACAAGTTATACCATAACTCCTATAGTAGATGACTGAAGGAAGTATTGAATCAGTAGCAAGTGCTGAGCGCTTTGGTAGAGTTGAGACAGACATAAGGAAGCAACAATTTAATAAGGCAAAATACAATAAAATTGAAGTAAGGAGAAGCTGAGGGTGATGGCAGAGTATTATGGATCACCAAATGTATCCTCTATGATAGGAATAAATTTGGGATACCAATACATAGTCATCTTCTTATAGAAATAGAAACACACCAAAAAAAAGGTTGTTGAGTCTTAATATTTTACAACTGATTTTGCTGGGTTTTGGAAGTGATGATATTTAAACTTAGGATTGATCAGCATTTTTATCATGGCTACAGGCAGTCAGTTCAGAGCAGTAGCTCTTTCATCAGAGGTGATGAAATGAAGGAGATGAAATCATTGAAGTTTTTCTGCCTGCTCACATGTAAAGCTCCACTGATTTCCCTGGGATACCACATAGGTGCAAGATACTGCTTGTGAGCATTGGGCTTCAATGGCAGCATCCCAGTAACAGCAATTGGTCATGGGAAAACAGACAGTGAGGTGAAGGCTGATAAAGCAATTCTGGTTATGCCTTTCACCAAAATTACTGTCACCCAATTATTAGGGCCAATACAACCCTTTATTCCAGCTCTGGATCATGCCCACATACATCCAATGAAAAGATATGGCAAATTAATCAGTGCTAATTATTCTTATCCCACTAGATATATTTAAAACCAAATGCGTCAAATAATTAAGGGTCTTTAAACATCAGTGAAACTGGCTTGTCCCAGTGAAAGGAGACAGATGACAAGCATGGCTGGAAGATACAAAGTGAATGATTTCATGATTCTCAAGTGTGTCGACCAGTGAAATAAGAGGAAAAAAAGACAAACAGGGCAAGAGTTGGCTTTATACATGGACAGATCATTTAACCAATATCCATGTGACAAAAAGGTAATGCAGTGAGACATAAAGTTAAAAGAGAAGCATTTGGGGCTGCCTACGGAACAAGAAAGGAGTGAAAAGCTTTAGTGAAGTAGGTGTGCCAGTAACACAACTTCGTGTCTATGAATCAGGTACACAGAGCAGCAATGTAGCTAAGTCAGAGACAGAAGTTGTCATCATTTCAAACACTCTATAATTATACTGTAACTTGTTTTGAGAATAGGAGGTTTTAAAAAGCACCAAGATTTTGAAGAACTGCAAAAGCATTCAAACATTCCATGACTAACAGGCAATAAAGGTTAACTTGTTGCGGAAAAGAGAGCTATTGCATTCAGTGAAGTTTCATGATTTCCCAGTACTGTAGTGCTTACATTTAGGACAGTTCATGCTAATAAAGCCCTTGAACTAACAAGTAGCAGATGCTTTGGAACAGTGCAACTTACTGACCTACACCTTCAGATTCCTGTTTAAATTTATGACCTGTCCCATCAGTAGTTGAATTATCACTATTTTATCACATCAAGCTTGTTTAAAATAAGATATATAGTCTGGTTTATAGCTCAACTTGACTGAAAGGCGTGGCCAAAACCTGCTGTTATAAAGAATACTAATTTCTCTGCTGGTATCTAAGGAGGCCAAAGACGAAATGATCAAGGTTACACCACCAGTTAAAATACCATGAAAGAAAAGTTTGGAAGCACACAGATTTGTGCTGT